ATATATTAAAATGCATTTAGAGAGAATATTTATATATATATAATTTAAAAAATAATCTGCACTTAGAGGATATAGAACATACACTTATTTTATAAATCCTGGCTTGGGACCAAGCTATTTTCTTGCAGATAGAGAGAACCTGCACTTAGAAAACATGCACTTAGAAGGAGTCGACTGTATTGATTTTATTTAGATAACTTTTTTTATATTAAAGATTTTTTAAAACCAACTAAAAAAACATATTTATCAAATAATAAAAAGGTTATAAAAAACTATAAGATAGCATTTATTGTTTAAAAATAGTTCTTATATACTATTTGCTAATAGATTCAAAATTTATCACTTACTGCAAAAATAGCACTTGTTGTTTAAAAGTAGTTTTTATACAGTATGCTACTTGTTATAAGTTTAAAGTTTATTATTTATTAAAAAAAAATCTAGCTTTATATTGTAATAATTATAGTATTCTATAAAAACTTATCTTCTTACTCAAGAAATATCTTCTATACTCACTTTTTAGCTACTGTAGTTTACAAATTTTTTTACAAAAGTGAAAATTAATTTATTCTTTTCAAAAAATTAATACAGTATTGTTTATTACTTTTATTTTTAAATATATTTGTTGTGATATACTAATTTAATTTTGTATAACTTATAATAAAGCCAGAACAATAATTGAACAAAATTCTACTAATAAAACCACAAACGTCTATTGGAAAAATTTTTTCAAGCCAATTTTATTATAAATTTGAATTTAAAAATTTTAGAATTTTGAAAATCATGGCCTAAATTAGGCCAATGCAGGCCAACCACCTAAATACGTCACAGCACTTTTGGAGGCCGCCAAAGCATTTGTCTCCTTGTATGGTGTACCCTACAGAACCACCCGAGAGTACTCACGTCCGAATTTTACGGTATATATATCGATATATACTACATAGTAAAATTAGTTATATGCTTCGAGTTTATATACTGTACTATGAATACGAAGCAGTCAAGTTCAGTTCACATGACAAATAATGGAAATTATTCGAATAAAATTGTAACAAGGTAGTTTATTCATGTTATTCAGCTCTTGATTTCAGATTTCATTCAATACAAAATATTATTCCTTACATAAAAAAGAATTGCTAACTATATAAAATGTACGTATATACTTAAGACTTAATTGTATCGATTGTTAAATGTTTATGTATGTATCTTCAAAGCCACCTTTAAAGAATTTGGTTCGCACATTCTGTTTCATGATCAAAATTTATAAAGAATAATGTGAATACATGGGTTAATTCTTCTTTTTAGTGTAACTCATTACTGTATTATCGTTATCGTTATGAACACATGCATATCTTTTGAGGCTTATTATTTTTTATTTATAGATGGAGGCTTTGCGTGATGTCATCCATATAATTTTCAGTACATGAAAGAAAACTTGTTTCATTTATATCTAACCTGTTTAAACTAATGCTAATACTTACATAGAATTCTATTACACGAATGTTAATTGATTCTCAGCCATATTTTCATTGTTCTTTGAAACATTCTTATTTTTAATTAAACACGTAACATTATATATACATTAACTGTTAAGAAATATAGTAAGAATTTACGTGATTTATTAAATGTTATCGTTATCATTACGTTTAAGTAGAGACCAAGCCACAAAAGAAGATAGATAGAACTAATGGATCAAAAACATGTACTTTTTTCATATTTAATAAACTCCCGTTTAATAAAAACTTAGATGGAAATGATTTTATGTACGCGTGAGAGATTAGCACAATTTAACAAGAAAAATATACAGATTTCTTTTGTAAACAAATCTTTTACAAATGCTGTAATACGTAAGATGATACAAAGAAACTTGAAATATTTTAATTTAATAATGTGCATTTCATGAAACTTTCGATCCGAGATAATTGTTGAAGGGAATTTATCAAGTACTATAAAAATCCGTCGTTTGCGTCTTTTCACTACATACTTGCTGTCGCACTTAATTCTGGAATATATTTTTTTAAAAAAAAAGCAAATTCTTATTCAAAATGTTATTCCTCCACTTAATCACTCTCACTGTGGCATCCATAATCTTAGCAACAACCGTTTGGGCATTCTCATCTGAAGATAAACCACATTTGATAGGAGGATATAAAGTTGATCTTGCTCCGCGGAATAAAAGCTATTTTTACAATAACAGTAGGACGGAAATGGTTGTAAATCAAATTTTCTTTTAATTTCCTAATTGCGTCTGGATTTAACACGTTTTTTATCTTTTGCTTTAGAAAAAAGACACATTTCTAACTAATACGAATTTAAGGATTGAAAAAGAATCCACATTTGCAATAGATCATCTCAACTCGGATTTTTTGCTCCCGTATACATACCTTTTAGTAAAAAATGATTTTTTATTAAAAGTTTGATACGTATATTATATTATTATCATTATTTTTGTATAAAATATTTTGCATTCACTTTTTTTTTTTTTTTTTATATATGTATTTATTTTTATATCTTAACAAATTTATCATTCTAACATTTGTATTCATATTATCATATTATCATATATATATATATATTATTATTCGATAATAAAATAAAAAAAATATCGTGTAAACTTATTTAATATTCCCCAAAAATTTTCAATAATACATATACATATAACACGCGACTTACCATTTGAGGATCATGCATAGCCAGTTTCACCAATCACTGAAACGTGTATCCTCAAATTAGGATCTCTGAAGAAATTGCCAGTTTAGGTGTAGTATTATAAAAGCCGGCAATTTTTTCGAGACCAATTAAACATCCTGCTTCTAGTAGTACGCGTGAAGACCTTTACAACTGATCATTTTTATTTGTTTTCAAACCTATAATGATAATATCCTGAACCATTGAGTATTAGCGAAAACAAAGTTTTCACTCGTACACAAACGGTCCAGGTAATTATTCGTCAATCCCCTGAAATAGTGATCGGGAATTAATTGATTCATTTCACTTATACATGTGTTAAAGCCAAGGAACCAAAATTATTTGTTAAATTAACTTCAAAAATGCTTTATCGTGTAGTGTATTTGATGACACCATCAATCACCATAGCATCAACCCCATATCTTTCTTGGATCCGAATATTACGAGGATCATTATTCGCGGATCCAAATGTAGTTAATATTAATCCGCCTTGCTTAACATTAGTTATTAATGATGGAACATGAATCTGGATAAAACCATTTCGACAAAGAATATCAAAGTTAAATATCTAGTAAAAAAAAAAAAATGCGTTACTGGTACATGTACTTACCAATAATGTGGCCTCAAAAATGACACCTAAAAGGTTATTTATTTTTGCAAATTTGACTGCTTCCTTGATAGATGTGCAACGCTTATCTTGTTCAATTTCTTCTCCATGTGTCGCGTCGTCCCCTTGTTCCTTACGTTTTTTACCATAATTGATTGTATTGTTGTCAAATCCACAATATGAATTGAAAAACACCGCATCTTTAAAAAAACAAACAAAATAAATCTAGATGTAGAGATATATTCCAATTTATATTTTAAATAAAAAATTTACTTTTAACTTACAATTTGGCTGTTTCCAATTCAAAGTAGTACAAATCGCTGGATTAAATGACGAAAACATCACAGATCGATTTGAAGGTAATTTGCCGTCTCCATTATTGGTGGTGTTACCTTGCGCATGATCATATACAGTTTGAAGAATTGTGTCTACATAAGTGTTGATATCGGGAATGTCAGAGAACCAATATCGGGACATTTCGAATACGGTAGGATATTTGATTTCAAGATTGACTCCAATAGATGGTGGCAATTTCTAAGGAAAAAAAAAACCAAGAGATAAATAAATAAAATAAAAACAAATAAGCATTGATCTTAATATTCCTCAAACCTTTAAAACTTCTTCTAAAGTAAGATATGCTTGGTGGACAATTTTTTGTAATTCTGCAGAGTTTGCTGCATTATTGAAATCTAGTTCCTCTTGTGACTTACGACTTAATGATTTAAATTGTTTAACTGTAACATCGGACACACTCAAATCAAATCCTTCGACTGGTAACATCCATTCTGAATACACAACAGCAACCATATCTCTGGTCACTTGTACTACGACCTGGATATACTCCCCTGATAATGAAGAACTAGTTATGAATGATGATATGTTCCTACTATTAATTCCTCCAGTACTTGGAGATTGGTCGCCAACGGATCCAGGGAGTGATACTGTATTGGTAGATTTCCAATAAGTTTCTACTTGCCCTCCAATTTCAAGTTGTACACCTTGAAATGGTTTCACAATAGCAAATTCAAATGATAATTCTCCAACGACTTTGAGATGTGTATCAAATACAGGACAAATACATTTTCCGCCTGTCCCTTCGGTTACCAAATTATTCCTTCTTTCGCGACCGTTGGTAAAGTTAAAAACGTGTGGTAATGCAACTCCTTTGCCGATAACTTTTGATCCGAATGTAGGAAAGATATCAAACTCAAGTGAAAGTTTATTAAGGGTATCTGTTTGAAAAGAAAAAACTTCTCGATCATCACCCAATGGTAATATAATGTTATGAGGAATTATTCCTGTATCTGGTTTAGAGGACATGATAAGTTTTAATGATGAAATTTGACTGTTTCCGTAAAGATGTACGGGAGGTCTTCGAGGTTTAGTTGATAAATGTCCAAGAGTTAATTGAACATGATATTTCTTATCCAAGTAATTATGTCCATAAATGCGAAGAGGTATAATTGGAGGCGGTAATGACAATGAAGGAATCGAGTCCATATTAATTTCCATATTATCCATATCAATATCACCCTCTAGATGACCGTTTGTGACTACCAAATTTGGTGATTCCTCTTTCATCTCAATAGTTTCAACGCGTCCACCGGCCTTACGTAATTTATCGATACATTCTATATGGCCTTCCCATGCTGCATAATATATGGGTGAATGACTTGATTCGTCTGAGATGTCAACCTGACAAGATGCTTGAACCAAAACATCGACACATTCTATGTTCCCTTCACTTGCAGCATAAAAAATAGGTGTCCATCCCTTATATTTATCTCGTGTGTCTAATAGAGTTTCACCATGTTCAGTCAAGATTTTTAACAATTTGTGATGTCCTTCGCGGGATGCTAAATGTAAAGGAGTAAGTCCCTCCGCGTCTGGTATAATCTGAGCACCTTTTTCTAGCAGCAACATGGCAATGTCTTCATGACCATATTTACATGCCAAAGATAGTGGTATATGACTATGACCATCTTCTATTTGTGGTTCAATTTGAGCTCCAGCGCCAAGTAGAATTTCTACACATTTTGTATGACCATTTGTGACAGCATAAATTAAGGGACTAAATCCATCATGATCTAAACTTTCACAATCAGCTTTTTGTGACAAGAGAAAGGTGGCAGCATCACTATATCCGTACATACAAACGTAATGCAGGGGTCTACGACCGTAAACATCAGAACAATCTACTTTAGCACCTTTATCAACACAAAGTTCAATAAGTGGTAATCGACCAACGATCGCAGCTTCATGTAAACATGTTCGGTCACTAATATCGTCAACATATTTGAAATTAATCATATTAGTGCCAACCAAACATTGTATGGAATCAATTAAAGAACTCTTTTCCGAACAGACACGCCAAAATACGCGTGATAAGATATCGTTATCCTCTTCAATTTGATGTTGAACCCTTCCCAAAACTTCCTGTACAGTTAAAGTAGAATCTTTCATTATTGCCATGAAAAGGTCAGTTTCAATATCATCCATAACATCATGTTCAACAGTTAATTCGCAAACAGACAACCGACGCCCGGGAGATGTCGATCGAGATGAGGGAGTGGTGATCAAGCCCTGTGAAAGATTTTGAAGTTCCAATAAAATATTGTCAACATTATCTACCATGTAAGACATAATATCTCTATTAAAGACTGGTTGAATTTCAACTTGACGCGCAAGATAAAGTTCTTTTGTGCTGGATTTGGATCGTTTATCCCATTTTTTAAGGATCTTTCTGAAACCGGTGGCATTAATCTCTACGAATTGCTAAAAAAAAAATAAAATAAAAAATAAAAAAAAGCAAAAAAAGTGTTATAAATATTTTTATGAAATGAAAAAGCTTTGAAAAATAATAGAGCGAGAAACCTATATAAAAAAAAAGTTTTTTTTTTCGTGGAATTTTATGTAACATACAGTAGAAGTTTATGTTATATATTGTTTACATTTTATTTAACGTTAAGATCTAATAGATCTAATTAAATTGGAGCGAATTCCGAATAGATGTATCACGTAAAATGTGTCTGGAATTATATGGAATTCATATAGAATTATCAGGTGTACGCAGGAAAAAAAAATAAATAAAAATAAAAGGAAAAGAAAAAGAAAAAAGAAAAAAATACCATAAAGAATTCCATACACATTTTATTCGGAATTCGTTAGAACTTCCATGCAGGAAAGTACGGGAAAATACGGAAAACGGAAAAATTGCGGACACTTTTTTTTTTTTAGAGATTATGAAATTACCTGTAACTTGTTTAAATCTTGTTGAAATTGTTGAAGTGCTTCTGTCAACGTGAACAAGGATGTAGAATTGGATGATAATTTTTTTTCACCGCCTAATAAAATTCTTTTTTTATCAAGTAAAGTTCGTAATCTAACATTGAATTCTTTTTCTTTTTGCACATAAAAAGAGTTAACCTAAAAGGAAAAAAAAAAAGTAGGATAATTCAAGAAATTAATAATAATAATAATAAACTGTAATAAGAGATAGAGAAAAATCACAAAAACAAATACTTTTTCTAATTCACGCTCAAGTTTAAAAAAGAAGGCAGCTTTCTGCTGTTGTAAGTGGTCAGCAGCTTGGGGGAGATCATTATTTCGAGAGGCACCAAGGGTTACAGTGATTGCAGGAGTTGGTGGTAAGGATCGTTCATTACTTTTGTAGGCGCTCGGCAAGCTATTTATGATTTTTTTCAATGCTTTATAATTAATATAATGAGCAGCCCATTCTGTAGTTTGTTGAGTGAGAAGCTGCTTTCCGAACTGTCCGAATCATTGATTAAATTGAAATTCTCCAATAAATTTCAATAATTTTTGTATAAAGAATAATTTAGGACTATATTATTCGTATTATACAAGAGAAATAATCATTACCTTCATGATTTTATAAATGAAAGATCAAATTATACCAGGCACAGAAATGCAAAGATTAAATACGATTACACCTTCGGGAAGGTAAATAAAATAAGCCGCATGATTAACAAACATTTAATTAACAACTATTTCATAGTAATAATCGGATTTACGATGGTGGTGCTACGTTATACTAGTTATACTAGTTATACTTGTTAAACTTCGCAATTTCTATTTTCAAAATTTCTTTGATATATCAAAGGCGCAACCTTGCATCCAATCATTATACCATGTGCAAATTATGTTTTAGAGTTATACGTTGAACGCTATATTTCGTCATACGGTTTCATTACTACGGAATCACCTGAACTTTCCTAAATTTGGAACACTTTAACGTGATCCAGGGGTGGTCCGATAACCCCAAGACCTGTTCGCTGCGAGCAATTAAAAAAATGTACATATCAATATGATCATATGAATAAAATTGGTTTGCATATATCGTTACGTACATACCTGATACGTATGCATGTACATACATACGTAGAATTATATAAATATATTCTAAAACAAAATTTTTTTTTTTAAAAAAATAAATATATATTATATAGAAGTGATATATAACTAGCACTAGTTTCGAGGTCCAAAATGGCTAAACCTATCAGGGGTTTAAAAGTGTCAGAAGTGTAAAAACAACCTGATACATAAAAGAATGTTCAACTTAAATAGTAACGATAAACAATTGTTAAATTAAGCTGTAATCTTGAAATAATGAAATAAATATCACAGAAACATCATTGTATGAAGAATATAACTATAATAAATCGTTTAAAGAGATCCAAACTTTAATATGCTGTCAACTTCCCAAAAAACTGATCCTAAAACTGGTTCATCATGTGTGTTTCATAATTCTGATGTCTAATATCCAAAAAAGACAAATTTGATATTTAGAGTTTTTTTGTTTCCGATATGGTATTGATACACTATGCATGTCGATTCAACAGTAATCGAAGCTGAAATTTAAATCTTGGCTTAGCCGGCTATGAAGAACATGTAAAAATAGCATATCCTGAATTTCCCGCTCTTGTAAAGTTTTTTAATTTTCTAAATCTCCGATCATTTCCAAAAACGTACTGCTTAGATACTGCTTAGAATTCTATTTATATAAACCAATAAAACCCTAATATTGTCACGTGTATGTTACTTAATCGAATAATCATAGTCGATTTTTTTTTATACACAGTTGATTTATAAACCGTAAACTGTTAAGCCTCCAGAAACCGATATGCATTGTGTATCGCTACTGAAAGGTTATCACGTTAAAAACATTATAAACTATTAGATTTATATAGCAGAAACAGATTTGGTTAATATTACAAGTTATCGATTTTGATAGGATCGGTTTTGGGAGGTTCAACAGTAGGTTTCTCAAGTTCATTATTGCATAATCCACGTTTGAAAGCATTAAATCATTGTGTCTAAGGTAGAAATAAAAAGAAATAATAGTATTCCAAAATTGACAGTCTTACACGGTGAAACTTCTCTCTAAAATGCACTCCTACATCAAGCATGGTGGGCAATCGAACGATATTACGTACGTACAGTACGTACAAGACACTGACCCTGTCGGTCACGACTTTTAATATTCCAAATTGGGCAAATTCAAATTATTAACAAGATATCAAACAAAAAAAAAGATTATCAAATTATCAAATATTTTAAAATGTTAGATCAGACGAAACTTTTACATTCACTAGTTGTAAATTATACTCTAAATGACAATACAGTCGATTCTTTTGTACCTTTTATTCTTGAAACGGTAACGAACTATCAATTACTAGCCACAGAGAAAGCCAATAATGTAAGGCAAGAAGCCAGCTCGGCAGAACAAGGCTCGGTTCATAAATGGTGTACACGCATTAATTCCCTGTTACAGTCCAAAGTTAGTGGTGCGAAATGGGCTGGGATTTCTTTTGTGAAAATTTCTATCCAACAATCAGAGACTCTGTTTATTCAAAACTTACAATCATGGTCTTCTGCTTTATTAACTTTGCTTACGGTTGGTTATTTTTTGAAAATTTTTTTTGTTATTTATTCACTTGTTAATGTCTTTCCATGTTATTCTCAGCGACCGGAATCAACTCTTATTTTGTCCGATGTCATTTGGACTCTTTCTAACATGTTTGGAAAAACAATTAACAAACCTGAACTACAAAGGGAAGTAACTTCACAGCAACTTCCTCGATTTAATACAACTCTTTTAAATCTATCGGAAAATCAAGAACTTTTGGTATGTATCATTTATCAAACTAAAACTTTTTATGTAGTCATCACTTAACTCTTTAATTTTTTCCTTATAGTCCACAATATTTGACGCTTTATCTCAGTCATGCATGCAGTTTCCAACTATATTTCGCCCATTTGTTGAAAATACTCAAAAATTGTGTCTTGGTGTCCTGGATGGAACGTTTGATTATGGATCTTCTGTTGTTCAATCTGCTGCTAAGTGTCTCGCGAGTATAACAAATACTGGTGGTAAAACAAATTCTTTGGTTCATTGGAAGTCAATTTCATTAAGATTAATTGGATCATTGAATTTCTTATTGGATCGGTTATTTGACACGATTGACGAAGGTGTGAATAACCAATATTTTATATTTTCTGCTTATACGCTTTACTTGAATTAATTTGATTTTGATTATAAATATTAGAAAAGCATGCATCAAATAATCTGTTTCAATTTGAGTTCCCTTCAGTTTCTGATGATTACATTATTTCCTTTCCAATTTTATTTTCGAGATTCCAATGTTTGTGTGAATGTATTATCTCTTTAGTGAGGTACGAGTAACTATATTAACCTAAAAATAAATCAGTCTTTAATAATCGTTGTATTCAAATTCTTAATATAAATTTCTTACATAGTTTGCCGACTTCCATACCAGTTCATGTTCCCATGAATCAGTTCCTTGACCTCCTCTGCAGGGTTTATAACGTTTGCGATGGCTCATTTGTAAGTGTCCATTTTATATAACCTTAAAAATTTGATGCAAGTTTTAATAAACATGTGACATAACATATGCAACATATCACAGATTGTAAACAAAGACAAGAATGAATTTTATACACTTATGCTTGGTGTGCCATCGTTGTATGTGCATAGCAATAAAGTTCTTTCAAGTCTAATTATTTGGTGAGCTTTATTTTCAGTGAATTGTGTAACAATGAAAACCAATTTTTTTTATTAAAAGCGCGTTTAATTTAGTGCAGGAGAATATTTCACGCGTCATTTGCGTTTAATATCAGATATAATATTGAAATTATTAGAAAAATCCAGTGACAAATGGTAACTTTTTTTTTTTTTCACGAGTAAATTATTTTAATTGCCATAAACGCTTTGTTTCTTGTGATATTTATAGGCTATTACGTAGTTCTATATACCGATTGACTTCTCTTTGTATACAAAAACATGGAATTGGATTTGTACATTTTATATCATCACCTCTGCTGGCTTCCATTATTGATGATATTAGATTAAAACAAAAACCACAATGTGATGTATTAGCAGGCATAATATCTAGTACCGGAAAGGTATTTATACATATTTCATGATTATACAAACATATATGTATACTACATATTTTACTACTTTTAATTTTATTACTTTAGAAAGGAGGCAAGAATAAGAAACGACAAATTACAAATTCAGATGAACTTATCAATTCTGGCATTCAAGAATTTAATAATGTGAATGTGGATGTACAAATTAGTGCTTTGGAAGGTTTGCAAATTTATTCATACATTTAGCAATTAAAATCTCATCTCACAATTAATTAATGTGAATTAAAATTTTTAGTTTTGAAAACCTTGCTTATGGTTGGTGGTTCCACGATACCTTACAATTCTCGCTCTGCTATTGATAATATCATTCTGTCACGAATTTTGGCACCGTTTTCCCAACTTACAAATTCTTCAGATACAACTCATAACGAAAGTGACATTCAACTCAAGTTATATGAATGTTTACTTGCTTTAATTGTGGCTCCATCCGCATTTCAACCCACAATACTTCCTCATGCTCTACGTATTTTTTCATCCGGTCTAAATGCGCAGTCACGACAAGTAATCCATTTATTTTGCATGAAATATTTAATAGTCATTCTAAATGCTAACGCTTCATTAATGCTCAACAGTTACAATCATTGAGTTCTCAGGCATTAGCAATATGCGATCTTATGTTTCATAGTCGTTTACCACCACTTCAAAGATTACCTAATGATTCGATATCCTTGTCTGAAAAGAATGTTCATGAGGGTGAATCTAAAGAAAATGGTAATAATATAGAACCTGAAGAAAATATTAATAATATCGAACCTGAAGAAAATATTAATAATATGGAACCTGAAGAAAATATTAATAATATGGAACCCGAAGAAAATATTAATAATATGGAACCCGAAGAAAATATTAATAATATAAAACCTGAAGAAAATATTAATAATATAGAACCTGAAGAAAATATTAATAATATAGAACCTGAAGAAAATATTAATAATATAGAACCTGAAGAAAGTATTAATAATATAGAACCTGAAGAAAATATTAGTAATATGGAAGACCAGACTCAACTGTATAAGTCGTTCCGGAACGATGATTATATTGATTCTGATGATAACGAGGATGAAGAAATGCCCGATATTGTACCAGATGGTCCAGATTCAGATTACGAAAGTTTAGACGAATAATAATTCTTTTAAAAGACATGTGGAGAAAGCTTCTTTTCATTTTAGTGTATATAGAATGACAAATAGTTACGTTAAAATTTGTTATTATTATTATTAACAAAATATATATATATATATCAAAAGTTTGCCTTAAGTTCGTTAAAGCTTAATATCGTTTGTTCGGTTTTACTACAGAATCCCGAAAACAAATCCGGCAACACTAAAATCTCGACACTACCAAAGTCTTAACAGTACTACTGTTAAAATATTGGTAGTATCGGTATTAATGTCGGGATATATATTGTGCAT